CTTTTCTATGTAGTTCTGCTGATGTGGTCTAGACTTCTGCCCCAGGATCTGGTCCTTTTCTGGCTAGCTGCATATGGTTCAATAAACCCTTAAAGCTTTGGGCTGTGAAAGTTCTTTTGTTTGCTTGTCTGTTTGAACACAATCTTTTCCTTACCATTCTGCACTATTAATGTTATTTATCAAGTCAGATCTAAAATCTATGTTTCTGTCTATTCACACTACTCAAAGCTGACTTACTTGACCCTGATAAATATCATTTATAGGAGTGCTTCCTACTACAGTTATTAAAAACAAAACCATTCACAAACCTAAGAATATGGACAATTGGAACAAGGATTCTGAGATCTTTTAACCCTCTCGTTTTATAAATTCGTTATAGTTATGTTCAAAAATAAGATGTTAAACAATTGCTATGCATAGAAAGACCTTATAATGGATTGTTTATATAGTATAAGTCCTGACAGTTGAGTTTTCTCCTTTTAAATGTATGACTCAAGCTTTGCTTGCTGAGACATCCACTTCAAAGAAGATTATCTCCAATAAACACACTGCAGCCACAGTACTAGAAGAACCAGGGTCCTGTCTCCACCAAGGCTCTTTTGCTTTAAAGATCTTGGTTAATTTCAATAAATAAGCATTTGGGCCACTTGTTTTCTTTTCTTCCCATGCTTTAAATTCCTGCTCTTATGTTTTAGAGTGGGCCCATGAGCCCATGAAAGCTCGAGCCCCAACACTTGAAAGCCTCAGGCCAATGCATGTTCCCTCTCTGCCTCGCTCCTCTTTCTCCCACCCCTCTCCCTCTCCCATCCTTCCATCCCAACAATGATGGTTATTGCTAAATGGCAATCATAATAAGAACCATGGGACCAGTCTAAGCACAACGTTAGTTACTGATAGGCTGAGACCAACACACAAAGCAAATCATTAACAAGTTTTAAAACCGTATTAATAAAGATTGGTGCTTCACTGGAGACAAGGCTTTTCTTTATACATTTGTAAGACTGAAAAAGAATAAACCATATTTAGGGCCTGCACCAATTAAGCAATGCTATCTGGCAGAAGCACGATATAAATTAATTTCTTAACCTAAAAAAACGACATATTGCAAGAAAGTAAAAACATTAAATATTTTAATAATTAGGTATATAATGCACATTTTACTCATATGAAATTTGATTCATATGAAAAGTTAAAGGCTTGACTATAAATTTGACTAATGTGAAAATTTTTAAATTCTCTTCTCTCAGTGTCATTCTGAAATCTCTCTAATGTTACTATAAGCATCATGAAACACTTAGCATCTAGTTACCTTGAAATTAATTACAACCAACCCAAACCTGGGAGAAAACATAAAATTTCTGATATTCATACTCAGATGTTTTTCTTAAATAAAATGAAGCTTATCTCATATGATCTAGTCTTTTGCTTGGGTAATCCTGCTGGCATCCTTATTCTTCTTATTATTATTTATTCTGATACTAGAGGCCTGGTGCACGAAATTCATGCCCGGGGGGGGGGGGGTTGTCCCTCAGCCCGGCCTGCGCCCTCTCGCAGTCTGGGACCCCTTGCTCCTTACCACCCACCTGCAGTGGAGGCGGGAGAGGCTCTTGATACTGCCGCTGTGCTCGCCAGCTGGGAGCCCAGCTTCTGGCTGAGCGGCACTCCCCCTGTGGGAGCGCACTGACCACCAGGGGGCAGCTCCTGCATTGAGCGTCTGCCCCCTGGTGGTCAGTGCTGGTCATATCGACAGGTTGTTCCGCCGTTCAGTTGATTTGCATATTAGGGTTTTATTATATGGGATAGCAAAGTGAAAGAGCTTTAGTAAGTAATACTGGAAAACTAGAGAAACTTTCATTAGAAATCATTTAAATACCAGAACTACAGTGGATACAGTAATGTTCATAAGAGCATGCAGCATAATCTTAGGAAGCATTTCTTTTAAAAAAAATCTAAAGGTAAGTTTACTGTTATAAAAGGCTTTCTCTGCACATCCCTAAACCAATGTGTATACCCCCACTTCCTTGGTGGGGGTATTTAAAAGACAATAAAAAAGAAAATAACTTCTGAATATTTATTACATCAATATTTCAATTTTGGGGAACATGCTAAAGGCACAATGAAAAAAATAACACATCTTCATAAACTGGCCATATAACACCACCCCATGGAGAATGGCTCCCAGGTATAGAACTATGGGTATTTTCTAATGTCTACTCCATAATAAAATTGTTTAAATAAAATTGAAATATTAGAAGTTATAGTTGTGACAAAAGTTTCACTTGACTTTATAGCAGAAGTCTTGGGTTGTAAGAAAGCACTCCTTCACAGCAAATTACAGTGTACTGGCAGCACATGTATAAATAACATAAAAAAGTGACTGTTTCCCAAAGCAGGTAGCCATGGATATAAGGAATTATTTATATAAAGACTGTATAATTTACTATACCAGAATATTTACAGAATTACAGAATTCTAAAAAAATCTTTATCCTCATTTCTGAAGAATATTAACTTGAAGAAACATTTTGGCATTAACTAGAACAGTAATTACCTATTTCTTGTGCAGAAACAACTAAACAGCTACAGGTTCAATTTCTTTTCATGTATAGTCAAAATCAAAATTTAAAACACTACTAATCCTTAATGAATAATAATTCTCTTGAAAACTTAACATTTTACAATAAAGTAGTCATCAACTCTAAATACTTAAAAATGCTTATAAAGTATTTCTTCTCTACAACTAAAAACTGAAACATTAAAAACGTTTAAAAAATTTAGTTAACATCCTTGTTTTTAAAAACAAACAAAATGGCCCTCTCTGGTTTGGCTCAGTAGATAGAGCACCGTCCTGTGGACTGAAGCATCCTGGGTTCGATTCCAGTCAGGGGCACATGCCCAGGATTGCGGACTCGATCCCCAGTAGGGGACATGCAGGAGGCAGCCGATCAATGATTCTCTCTCATTGATCTTCCATCTCTCTCTCCCTCTCCCTCTCCCTCTCCCTTCCTCTCTGAAATCAATAGAAAATAATAATAATAATAAAATAAATAAAAACAAACAAAATGTTTTAGACCTTTAAAATTCTACCTTTCAGAACTTAAGTTTTAATACAAAAATCTGAAATCAAGCACATCATCATACTTTTGACTTGGAAAGTAGGAAAATGGAGATCTTTAATTGCACTGTATTTACAGATCTTGAAGAGTCTTTACAAATTAAATAAAAATTATATTCAACTTTCATCAAAATATCTACTAGAAACCTTTTAAAATTTTAAATGATTTTTTTCCATTCGGCAACCACTAAAATATTTCAAAGATCATGTAAAAAGAATTTCTCCTCTTTCCTTCCTTCTAACCAAAAGAATCTCAAACTTTACATGTGAAGAATTTTTTCTTACAGAATTTGCACTTTAAAACTAGCTCCAAAAAATAATCAGAAAAATAATTAAAAGTCTGTTTAAAAAAATAGCACATACCACTGAAACTAGAGTAAGAAATTATTTTCTTCTTAACCCAAATACTAAGTATTTTAAACTTTTTATAAATAACAATAAATACCGCCTCATATTATGTACGGTGTACAAAATAGAGTAGCACTAAAACAAATGATGACAATGAACAACCCATTATACTTCACTGAAAATAAGTATACTCTCATTTTTCTTGGAGGAATATTATGAATTTTCTACTGGCACTCTGGAATAAAATAACAAGCATACTTTTTTACCAATTTCCTCTCATTTCTCCTTTGAATATAAGACTTTCTAAATTTTCTAAGAGAAAATTTATTTTTAGACTACAAGAGATTTCTGAAACCCCTAAAATAAAGTCTTAAAAAAAATCCCTAACCCATACTATGAATCTTAATAGGTTAAATTTAATGCATGATGATAGGTCCCAAGGATTGAAGAATCATACTGACAGCCAATAGCTCAAGGGATGACAATAATCCTGCATTCGTAATCTCAAAATTTTAAAAGAAAACTATTTACCAGTCTTAGAAAAATTTAGAGATCTATTTAAAAAAAATAACAACATACTCATCACAAATAGATACAAGGGAGACAAATAAGAAAATAGATTGTGTTACAGCTTTGTAAACTTGTTCCATTTCAAAATGTATTCTTTATAGTTAGGGAAATCCCTATACAAATAAAACTAAACATTTGTTCCCTTTTCTTTGAAAAATATTTACAGTACATAGAATGATAAGCAAAAAGTGTACACCTGCTTATATTGCTGGCCAGTGATATAGATGAACAAGAACACAAAAGTGCTTACTCAATTATTTGAGCATCTTAATTTGTTTGTATAGTGAAGTTATTTTAGATCAACTATGGAAAAATTAGAAAACACCATTAATGAACCAGCCCTTGTGTAAAAGATCACACAAGATGCCAAGGTATTACACATTCACTGTGGTAAAAACTGTACATATGTATTCTGTGCTTCTTTAACATTGTAAAATTTATATTACAATTTTTTCATCTCTCAAAATTCTGAGTTAAAAAACATCTATTTTTTTTCTTTTGCCAAAGAAAAGTGATGTTAATTGACTAAGTTCATGAAACTTTTTACAAAATTCTTTACTAAGAACTTTTCATCAATTTCTTTTACTGGTGTCCCCATAAAGAAAAACTCACTATACAGTGGGGCCTTGACTTACGAGTGTCCCGACTAACGAGTTTTTTGAGATACAAGCCGTCTCTCGGCCGATTTTTTGCTTTGAGTTGCGAGCTAAAATTCGGGTTACGAGCCAGCTTCAGATACCCCACCGCTAGTTGGCGCAGCGAACGTCACAGTGATTTGACATACGAGTAATTTGAGTTATGAGCTCCATCACGGAACGAATTAAACTCGTAAGTCAAGGCCCCACTGTTCTTTGAAAGTTTTGAGCAGATATTTTCACATCTTTGTGGCTAGCATCATGATATACATAACAATGATATATGTAGTAATAGTCCACAGCAATGTGAAATACAAAACTTTGTTCTCTAACTTTATTTTGGTCTCAGAGTGAAGTTCATTTCGTTCATCCAGCTATGTTGTCCCTTATTTGATCAACTCGAAGAGCTAGGTTTCTGAAAGACGGACGCTGATTTACATTATTATTCCAGCATTCTGTCATGATCACATAGATCTGTAAAAGAGAAAATAAACCAGAATTACAGTGAACACAAAGTGCTATTTTTTTAATTGGCAGAAGACATGTATTCAGAACTCCCACTTAATTCTTCCATATAGGTATCTGTGCCTAGATCCACAGTTATATGATTACTAGAGGCCCGGTGCACGAAATTCATGCACGATGTGGGGGTCCCCTCAGCCCAGCCTGCACCCTCTCCAATCTTGGACCCCTTGGGGGATGTCCGACTGCCGGTTTAGGCCTGATTCCAGGGATCGGGCCTAAACTGGTGTCCGACTGCCGGTTTAGGCCTAATCCCGGGGATCAGGCCTAAACTGGCAGTCCGACATCCCTCTCACAATTCTGGACCTCTGGCTCCTAATCGCTAACCTGCCTGCCTGCCTGGTTGCCCCTAACTGCCCACCCCCTGCCGGCCTGGTTGCCCCTCATTGCCTCTGCGTGCTGGCCTGATCGCCCCTACCCCCTTTGCTGGCCTGGTCGCCCCTAACTGCCCCTTGCTGCTGACCAGGTCACTCCCAACTGCCCCCCTCTGCTGGCCTGGTCACCCCTTACTGCCCCTCCTGCCGGCCTGGTCACCCCCAACTGCCCCCCTGCCGGCCTGGTTGCCCCACGCAGCCTGCTGTTCAGTCGTTTGGTTGTCCCTCACTAACCCCCCTGCTGGCCTGGTCACCCCACGCAGCCTGCTGTTCAGTCATTTGGTCGTCCCTCATTAACCCCCCTGCCGGCCTGGTTGTAGGCAGCCATCTTGTAAGGGTGTGAGGGTTAATTTGCATATTACCTCTTTATTATATAGGACTAGAGACCCGGTGCACGAATTCGTGCATAGGTGGGGTCCCTCTGGGTGGCCTGCAGGGGTTGGGCCGAAACCCGCAGTCCAACGCCGCCTGCAGCTCCTACCTGCGGCTCGTGCTCATCCCGGCCCCTCTGTGCCTGCCGCAGGCTCGCGCCCAATCAGTCCCAATCGGGAGAGGCTCATGCTGCTGCAGCAGCACTTGCCAGCCATGAGCCCTGCGTCTGGTGTCCTCCCAAGGAGAGTGGCCTGCGGGATCGGGCTGAAACCAGCTCTCCGACATCCCCCATGGGGTTCCAGATTGCAAGAGGGCATAGGCCAGGCTGAGGGACCCCACCGGTGCACGATCAGGCTGGGGAGGGACTGCAGGAGGGCTCCAGGGCATGTTTGGCCCATCTTGCTCAGTCCCAATCGGCCAGACCCTAGCAGCAAGCTAACCTACCGGTCAAAGCGTCTGCCCCCTGGTGGTCAGTGCATGTCATAGCGAACAGTTGAGCAACCTTAGCATATCATTAGCATATTACTCTTTGATTGGTTGTTCAGTTTTTCTGCCGTTTGGTCTATTTGCATATTACCCTTTTATTATATAGGATTATTATATAGGATGCTATTTATTTAAAAGCTCATCAATTAAATTTGATCAAGTGACCTGAAGTCCTTGTTCTAAAAGAGCAAGAAATTGTATGATTACTATGGATAAAAAAAATAAATAAATTTGTGACCTCATCTGGGCATCCATCTGGTCTTGGTAATCTTCCATTATTCTTCAAGAGTTCTATCAAATGAAACACAATCATCTGTCCTTGTTTGTCGTTGCCAATCATACGCATGAATTCCTGAAACATAAACCCACATTTCAGTGAGATTTTTTGGGTACATTTAATTTGAAGCAGAAATCTTTCTCAACTTCTTCCAATAAATGGGAACAATTCTGTATATGTATGCTTTCTTATATGTTTGAAACATTTTAAAAACAGACTATTTTGCTTGGTTGGTGTGACTCAGTGGTTGAGCATCAACCCAGGAACCAAGAGGTTGCTGGTTCGTTTCCTGGTCAGGGCACATGCCCAGGTTGCAGGCGTGGTCCCCAGAGGGGGCATGCAGGAGGCAACTGATTGATGATTCCTCTCCCATCAATGTTTCTACCTCTCTATCCCTCTCCCTTCCTCTATCTCTAAAAAAATCAATGAAAAATATTTTAAAAAGTCAAACTATTTTAAAACTTCCTTTTCAGGAATACTTCAGACAGGATTGTTATATGTGGAACCTCTATAATGCCATTTCTATAAATGTAATATACTCAACACAAATTCCCTGAGAAGGGCCCAAAACAAGTGAACTAAAACTATATTTACATTTTTTGGTAGCTATTGTTTTAACATGTCACATTACATTACAATTCAGCTGAAATAAAAACTTGAGTGTAAAAGAGGGCATAATAAAAAGAGTGCAGAATGAATGTTTAAGTAAAAGTACATGGAGAGAAAAATATGTTCAAGTGTTAAAAATTCATAAAAATCTGAATTGTAAGCTAGGAAAATATTTACAGTACATCCTTTATTGAAATATAGAGAGCTCTTATAAACCGGTAAGAAAAATTACTAAAATAAAAATGGGCAAAGCACATAAGGAGACAATGCACACACATATGTACACCAAATACCCAATAGGTATGTGTTCAGTCATACTAATAGGAGAAATACAATTTCAGATCAAATAGATGCAACTTCTCTCCTACTAATTTGGCAAAGCTGCATAAAAACATAATAGTGGATACTGTCAAATGATGAAATGCACATACCCTGTGCACTGCTATTGAGAATGTAATCTGATATAGCTTTTCTGGAAAGCATTTTGAAAAACTCAAGAACCTTTAAAAGAGTTCATAACTTTTCATCTATTATTAAACTTTTATTCTAAGGTGACAACCACAGAGAAACAAATATTTATGTATAAGGATGTTCACTATGTTCATTGAGGTGTTACATAAAAGACTGAAAATGGAAAATAATTGTTTAGAAATTACATCCTTATTATGAAATGCTATCCAAAAGTTAGAAGCCATATTTTCAGTAAATAGTTACTAATAAAGGAAAATATCCATGCTCTAATACTTAGTTAAAAAAACAAGATAGCAAGCTGTATAGTATAACCTTTATTTTATAAAAAAATTATTTTAATACAGTTTTACTTTTACATATAAACTTAAAAGAAGTCAGGAAGAAAACATACCACAGTACTAAAATAGTTACCTCTGAGTAGTTGAATTGGAGAGGATTTTTTTCATACTTTTCAATATTAAAGAAAATTCTTTAATGATCAGAAAAAAACTACTTTAAAAGTTTAACTTTTGCAATAATTCCTAGAATGAATGAGTTTATTGGATGTATTAAGAATAATATTAAGCCGAAACCGGTTTGGCTCAGTGGATAGAGCATCGGCCTGAGGACTGAAAGGTCCCAGGTTCGATTCCGGTCAAGGGCATGTACCTGGGTTGCAGGCACATCCCCAGTAGGAGTTGTGCAGGAGGCAGCTGATCGATGTTTCTCTCTCATCGATGTTTCTAACTCTCTGTCCCTCTCCCTTCCTCTCTGTAAAAAATCAATAAAATATATTTTTTTTAAAAAAGAATAATATTAAGAGAATATAGTAAACTAGAGGCCCACTGCACGAAATTCATGCACGGGAGGGGGGGGGTGCCCCTCAGCCCAGCCTGCACCCTCTCCAATCTGGGACGCCTTGGGGGATGTCCAACTACTGGCAGTTGGACATCAACTCTCACAATCCGGGACTGCTGGCTCCTAACCACTTGCCTGCCTTCCTGCCTGATTGCCCCTAACCACTTCTGGCTGTCAGCCTGATCACCACCTAACTGCTCCCCTGCCGGCCTGCTTGACGCCTAATTGCTCCCCTGCCAGCATGATCGCCTCCAACTGCCCTCTCCTTCTAGCCCAATCGCCCCCAACCCTCCCCTGCTGCTGGCCCGATCGCCCCCAACTGCCCTCCCCTGCCCGTCTGATCACCCACTGCCCCCCCCTGCCGGCCCAATCACCCCCAACTGCCTTCCCCTGCCGGCCTGATTGCCCCCAACTGCCCTGCCCTGCAGGCCTGGTCACCCCCAACTGCCCTCCCCTGCTGGCCCGATCTCACCCCCAACTGCCCTCCCCTCTGGCCTAATGGCCCCCAACTGCCCTCCCCTGCCAGCCTGATCTCACCCCCAACTGTTCTCCCCTGCAGGCCTGGTTCCCCACAACTGCCCTCCCCTGCCGGCCATCTTGTGGCGACCATCTTGTGACATTGTGCGATGCCCCCTAGGCTTTTATTATATAGGATAGTACTCTACCCCTCTTCTTTTTAAAAATTCAAGTTAATTTAATCAATAAGTTTAGGGTTATTTTGTTGGATGTTGTATTACAAATAAGCAAGAAGAGGCTAGATGAGCTTTAAGCTTACTATTATTGTTTGGCAAAAGCTTTTCTGATGTTAAAAAAAAAGTTGAAAGTAAATAAAAACATACTGACCGCTGGTGGACTTTTACTCTTCTCAATATAGGTGAAAAGTTCATATAGAACCACTCCAAAGCTCCAAACATCTGAGGCCACAGAAAACTTGCTCTCTGTCAGTGATTCTGGAGCATACCTGTGAAATAGGAAAGCATTTAAAAGGCGGTTACTTGATGTGTCAACTCTTGTTTGTAGCTGCAAACCAATTGGATTAAAAATAAAAAAAGCAAGATGTACAGGAAAGAGTTAACATAGCAGGCTTGAGGCTGTCATCCTAAAAAAGGCCTGCTTGCAATGTTGACACTTGACTGGTACCGGGAACTTAGATTTCAGGAGTGTTTCCACAATTCCCTAAATGATAAGAGGGGCTCACTGTGCCTAAAATGTTTCTGCAAACTACATGGTTTGTGCTGAATGCCTACTTTCCCTCTAGGAGTCTGAAATTGTGGTACATACCAGGCAGAGGGTGCTTACGTGTCCAGTCCCAACACAAACCTTGGGCACTGTGTTGTCACAATTACTGCTGGGAAAAGGAAGTGTGTCCCACATGACTTTACTGAGAGAGGACCTTGGAAGACTGTGCTTGGTTTCCTCCAGCTTTGCCCCAGACTCCTTTCCCCTTTGCTGATTTGCTTTGTGTCCTTTCCCTGTAAGGAATCATAGCTACAAAGATGGCTGTATGCTGAGTGCTATGAATCCTCCTAGTGAATATCAAATCTGAGAGTGTTCTTAGGAACCTCCAAATACACAAAGTTAACTCAAAACAAACAAACAAACAAACAAACAAAAAAACCGTTTTTGTCTCTATAGGAAACACCAGGGTTAACTGCAAAGTACCATAGAGAGAAAATGTTGCTTCTAAACTGGAACAAGACTTGAAGCTATTAACATATACGTAAAAGAAAAAACCTGCTCATCCCAAGGAAGTGATTTTTGTAAAGTAGCACAGAAAATTAGAAAGTCTGGGAGAAATGGTGCGACTATCTATTCAAGTATCAACACTAACCAAGGGAGAATTTTGGCTAATGGACTGTGAATATCCTGGTTACATTGCTAAGTTTATCCTTATTATAGAGAGTGATAACAGAGATGTTTAAGATTGATGAGATTTAAAATATAAATTACAAAAATTTAATCTCTCCTTTAAAATATACTCACTTCCATAAATCCTTCTTTGACTACTCAAGGTTTTTATGACCCAATGCTACTGAATTTCTATAATACTTGTAGCCTATGCCACACAATTAACTATGCAATGCTATATTAATTTTATATTTAGTTTTTAAAAACACTTAACATATTTAGTTATATTTTTAAATAAATGTTAGCTTTAGCCCACAAATGGAACATAACATCCCTGAAGACAGTGCTACTCCCCCAACCACTGTAAACTATTCTCATCCTTCGGTTATCCTGAAAGCACTCCTGTAATCGCCTCCTCACTCCTCCCTCCCCCAATCTGCAAGGCTGTTTCTCTCTCCCATCACTACTGTAAGAATAAATACAAATCAAAAATATAATTCTCCTTGTTGAAAATGAGGAAAATGACTCTTCCCCCTCTTTCCTTAAAGCATTTATTTTAGAAAACTTACCATTGTAAATTCTTTATCTCTTTCAAATGTATGTAAGTATTTTTTAAAGCTTTTGCTCAAATGCCTCTTGCCAGCTTTATGATATGTTTTTCTCAAGAACCTGGGAACCATCTCTTTGTAATATAATCATCAAGGAAGTCAGCACCCCTACTTCTCAGTTTCTGTGAGAGGGTAGGTACCTGACTTCAGCAGGTCCCTCCTTCCAAGTTACAAAATTATCTCTTGTCATAAGTTATAGTTTATTTTTCCTTTGCTAAAGCCAATTAGCTAATACCTGGTGACTTCAATTACCCAGTGAATTTAGGATGAACCATGTGTGACAAATGTGATGTCAAGTCCTCTCACTTGGGGATTAGTTACTGTTTATCATGAGAAAATGTATGTAATGGGTTGAATTTGCTTGGCCATAAGAAAGAATAAGATTTCTTTCTCTCTTTGCAATCTATAAGCAGATTGCTTTTGATGCACAATACCTTCTGGATTAATGCTTACTCAGTAATAAAACTGTTTTCTTTCTAGCTTCTCCCTGCTGTTAGCCTCACCTTAATGTACCCTCTAAACCAGTTCTCCAACCATTAGGTCAAAGGTCCCTATACACTCTTAAAAATTACTGAAAAAAAGCTGAAATTACTATAAAAAGAATGCTTCTGTGAGAAGAGTAGCATTGTTTTACATTTTTAAAGTTTCTTTACTGTTTGGTTTAACAGAGAGTATAAGAGTATAACCTATGGAAAATTCCACTATCTATTCATGAAAAAAGGAGAGTGAAAAAAGCACATGACATCTTAGTATTAGTATTAAAATAACTTTTGATAACAGACTCCCTAAAGGGGGTACAAGGGGTCCCCATACTCTGAGAACTGATATTCTGCACCAATAGTAGAGGTGGGGGGGGGAAGTAAATTCATATTCCTAAAATATGACTCTCACAATGTTATTCCCTGGATAAAGCCTCTAAATATTTCACATACACAATGTTTACTAAATAAAGGCTGACCTCTTTAACATGATGTACAGGGCTCAATATCATTCTAGCCCCAATTGTTCCCTGTTTGCTCTGCAATTATGCCATTCACTTACAAGCCCTCATCCTCTTGTTCTTATCCTCTTCTTATGGTAAACTTAAAAAAAATTAAGTAATACTTTCTTTTCTTTCTATTAAAGTATAGTGACATATAATATTATATGAGTTTCAGGTGTACAACATAGTTATTCAACATTTACATAGCTTATGAGGTGATCATAGTGATAAATCTAGTAACCATCTGTCACCATACAAAGTTATTATAATACCACTGACTATCTTTCTTGTACTGTACATTACACCCCTGTGACTTATTTTATAACTGGAAGTTTGTACTACTTATTCCCTTCATCATTTTCATCCATCTCCCTAGGACACCCTCAACACCTCTAGGGTACCATACTAAGTGAAATAAGTCAGACAGAAAAAGACAAATACCAAATGATTTCACTTGATATAATATGTGGGAACTAAAAAACCTTGACCTTGAGCAAGCTATTTACCCTGTCTACAATTCAGTTCCTTCATGCTTAAAATGAGATATTAATACATATTCTCCAAGGATTCTTATGAGGATTAAATGAGATAATCCATAACACACATGTAAGCCCAATGCAAGTACATGAGAAATTTTTGCTACTATTATCCTATCTAATAAAAGAGAAACATGGAAATTAGCGTACAACCGCTACCCTTCCCATTGGCTAATCAGGGCGATATGCAAATTAACTGCCAGCCAAGATGGCGGCCGGCAGCCAGGCAGCTGGAAGCGAACATGAGGCTTGCATGCTTCAGTGAAGAGGACTCCAACGTTCCCCGCCTGCCTCACCGGCCTCTGAGCTGGCAATTTGAAACATTGTAACAAATATAGAAGCTAAACAAAACCCCAGAAACCAGCTTTCAGCCGGCCGGGATCTCAGAGCTGGAGATGATACAGTGTTTCGATTATAGAACCGAAACAAACCAGATACCTGCTTTCAGCAGCAGAGGCCTTGGCCCAGAATAAAAAA